CTTTTGTTTAGTCAACTCTTTAGAATGATTATAAGATCAGATAGTATAGAAAATATATTTGATCCTTGCTATTTAAAACTTAAACGTAATGAAATTTAAAAATAAAGCAGCTCTATTTTAAAAAAAGTAGTTTAATCACTAACTATTTACATTTGGCAGGAGAAATTTAAATGCAAATTTAAAACTGCCCCAGGCTGGGACAGGTTTGAACTTTTTTACTAGAACGAGAATAATGACTTAATTTTTAGTTTACATTTTATGCAAATGAAGTAATTTCTTTCCTTAATGAATATTTTAACTGTTCAAAACAAAAAAAAATTTAATAACTTTTTTTTTTGATTTTTAATAAAAAGTGTAAAAAATGATCAAAGGTGCCCCCTGTCCCCAAACCAAAGTTTGGTTTTGCATAATAAAACATAACATAAATAAAGAACAAACGTTAACTGTTAAAACTTTTTTGAAAACTTGCATCACCTTGTTCCCAAAAATAAATTGACATATTATACGGTAAACTTTATACTAAATTTTTAGTATACCGATTACAAGGGATCTCTTGTTAAAAACAAAATAAAATTGACGCTCAGCTTACCTAAAGAAAAAATAAATATTTAAAATATTTCTTACCTTGAATAAATAGCTATAAACTTAGTTAAAATTTACTTAAAAATACTTTCACACATAAATAATGTAAAATTTTAAACAACTTTGGACTCAAACTACTTTAAATATTACATATTCTTATCTAATCGAGCTCTATTTACTTCATATATATATATATATATATATATATATATATATATATATATATATATATATATATATATATATATATATATATATATATATATATACATGCTTTAAATATATTATTATATGCGTTGATACTACTTTATTGTATCTACAATAAGCGCTGCTTACACATATTGTTGGGGAAATTGCAAAACTCCGAAACTCACATTGGATAACACCACGTATCTGCACTATATATTATTTTACAGGAAAAGGTTAAAACTTTATCTACTAAAAGTTAACATCTTGGAGAAATTTTTATATAATTATGTTAAAACATCGGTTTATTGTATCTAAACTTATCTTTATAAAATTCAGAATAAATCATACTATTCAAATGATCAAAAATTGACAAAAGACATTATTAAGTATTATGATGTTGCATAATTTGAAAAAAATTACTTGTATGGATGTCAATCTCTTCTCGAGGGGTCAGATTTATTTACATTATTCCTTTTGGCCAAACGGTAAACCAAGAGGTTTATTTAAAAGAGTGTTTACAATAGCGCTTGCAACCTTTTATTAATAAATATTATCAAAACACCAAGTGTATCTTTTGGCTCAATATAGCAACATCTCACTATGCTAATTCGCTAACAAAATGGGTAAAATCCCAGAAGATACAAATTGTTCAAAAAAAAAGACAATCCAGCAAACTTACCCGAAGCTTGTGCTATAGAGGATTTCAGGCAATGCTTAAGCGGGATGTGTACAAGATTAGATGGTCTACAATTAATATATCAAACCTTGAGCGTCGGATTCGTTATTGTGCCAGTAGACTTGACCTAAATGCTGCACAAAAGCTTGCACAAGGTACCAATACTAGACTTGATCAAATTCGAAGATATGGAGTCTTGTGATAAATTTATTTTTGTTTTACTATTCTGCATATTTAATTCTAAGAACAAATCAAAAAAAAAAAAATTTATTGTGTTTATTTAAGTTTTTATTCAAGTTTAAAGCCAGTCTCAAATTTTATGGTACACGTGTTATATGTATGAATACTTTTAAAATAATTACACTTTTAAATAAAATACAATAAAAAAGCACATTTCCGTGGGCGAATAACTCAAACGTCAGAATAAGTTTTTGATTCTATCATCTTCCGAATAATTAACGTTAGTTTATCAACGTGGAAAAAACGTGGAAAATTCTAACGTTCAACTGTCCGCATCACTAAGACGTTGAAACGGCATTTATTGTTCAACGTTACTTCATCAACGGTAAATCAACGTGGAAACAATAAATAAAAATCGCTCAGAATCAAGTTGACACAACGGAAGTAAATGTAACAGCTGCCACCACATGCCATAACGTTGTGAGAACGAATTTATTTAAATTCGCTAAAACTGTCAGAGGTTTAATGAGATTGCAAAAAACTGCGCAGCAGTTTAGAAGTGATTAAAAGATTGCCGTAAGCTACTGTAATAAATTTTTACGATAATTGTAATAAACTAAGTGTACTTGAATACGTTATTTATTTTCATTACAAAAATAAAAGTTTCATACTATGATGACAAAGTTACATTAAAAATAGAAAACAAGAAGTATCTTATGATTCAAAGTTAGAAACAAAAAGCTGTGGAGTTCCTCAAGGCTCTACTATTGGACCCTGAATATTTTTGATTTACGTAAATGATATTTATCTATCCATAAACATGCTTAATTTTTTTGTTTTTGCAGATGAGACTAATTTTTTTAAACCCATTCCAATATATAAACAATTTTCTTTACAGTATATCGTGAGCTGGAAAACCTTAATGACTGGTTTAAACCAAAAAAACTCTCTTTGAATATTAGTAAAACTAAGTACATTTTATTTCATCACCAAGCAAATTCTGATGACCTGCCTCTGCAATTTCCCCAGCTAATAATAAATAACAATAAAAGTAAACAGAGTTTTATCACCTCAAATCTTAGGAATATTATTTGATCTTTGTCTTAGGAATATTATTTGATCTCTATTGGAAAAATCATATTACACTAATTGAAAACAAAGTTTCTAAAACTATAGGCATTAAAACAAAACACCTACTAAGTAAAAAATATTTAATAGAATTATACTACTCCTTTATCTGTAGCTACATAAGCTATTGCAATATTGCTTGAGAAAGTACTTGCACTTCATCATTAAAAAAAAAAAAATTAAACCAAAACAAGTAAAATTATATGTAATGAGCATAAAGACGCCCACTCCAAACCGTTACTCCGGTAAATTAATGTCTATGAGTTAAAACTTTCCCAAAACTTGTTATTCATGTTTAAATATCAAACTGACATGCTTTCAAATTCCTTTAGTAATCAATTTCTAAAAATTAATCATAAATATTTAACAAGGTCAACTCTTAAAATATCTGATTACTCAATTTCATAGAGAGGACCTCGTCTGTGAAACATAGAGAGGACCTCGTCTGTGAAACATAGAGAGGACCTCGTCTGTGAAACATAGAGAGGACCTCGTCTGTGAAACATAGAGAGGACCTCGTCTGTGAAACATAGAGAGGACCTCGTCTGTGAAACATAGAGAGGACCTCGTCTGTGAAACATAGAGAGGACCTCGTCTGTGAAACATAGAGAGGACCTCGTCTGTGAAACATAGAGAGGACCTCGTCTGTGAAACATAGAGAGGACCTCGTTTGTGAAACATAGAGAGGACCTCGTCTGTGAAACATAGAGAGGACCTCGTCTGTGAAACATAGAGAGGACCTCGTCTGTGAAACATAGAGAGGACCTCGTTTGTGAAACATAGTTCTTGATGAAAATATAGTTAAACAGTATTCACTTAAAATAACAGACACAAACATATTTTAGTATTTTTAAGTAACAAAAAAAATAAATAAACAAAAAATAAAAGTCTTATAATATTTCTTCCTTATCTATTAATTAAATTTTTGCAACTTAACGTATTCTTGTTGCAATTTTTCGTATTCTTGTTGCAATTTATCGTTTTCTTGTTGTAATTATGCATTAACTTGTTTTATATAACGAGTAAACTTTGTAAACTTATATAATAAGAAATTTTGACAAAATACTTTACGCTTACTATAGAGACTTGATGACAGAGCTTTTGTCTTTTATTTGCTCATGCCGTTATTAAATTTTATTGATGAAAATTGTAAAATGTTTATAAATGACAAACAATAAATAAATAAATATATATATATATATATATATATATATATATATATATATATATATATATATAATATATACATATATATATATATATATATATATACATATATATATATATATATATATATATATATATATATATATATATATATATATATATATGTATATATATATATATATATATATATATTTACATATATATATATATATATATATATATATATATATATGTATATATATATATATATATATATATATATATATATATATATATATATATATATATATATATATATATATATATATATATATATATATATATATATATATATATATATATATATATATATATATATATATATGATATTTTATGTAACAATATACCAATTATTTTGCCACAAGTTGAAAGCAGAGAATTTCTATTATTCACCAGTGTTTGTATACAAACACCAGCGAACAATAGAAAATCTCTATAGTTATGAAATCTCTAATAGTTATGATAGTATATCTCTAATAGCTATGAAGCAACTATAGTTGCTTCATAGCTATTAAAAATCCCAAGTCATAAAAAGAGCGCCGAATGTAGCCTCAGCAATGCATTTTTTCTGAAGTTAGTTATTAAGTTGTTTATAGAGCTCTATAAACAACTTAATAACTAACTTCAGAAAAAATGCATTGCTGAGGCTACATTCTGTACAATTGCTTCAATACATTGCTGAGGCTACATTAGGTCCTCTAGAGGACCTAACGGTATAAACAACTTAACAACTTTATAGAAGAGGATTGTGGAATTGCATTTAACCAAGAAGCTCACGCCTCCTTCCCGCTTAGTCAAAGCCACTCAATGGCGGGTTTTTAGTGGGGGGCCATGGGGGCAGAATCCCCCTCTTTTGGACTTTTTTTTAAAAAAAATATTCTTTTTTAAATTGACTATTATACAGAATGTCGACGAAACTTGACTATTATTATAATTATACGTATACAAATCTGATTGTTACACTAAAGTACAAAAAATTAAAAATGAAAGTTACTTGTAAATGAAAATAAGTGGACCTTTTTTTTTTTTTTTTACAGACCTTTTCAGCTGGCATCAAACCTCACCTCCTTTTGGTTCTAATCCAAAGCTAAAACCACAGTGCACCGGGTGCTATGCGCTTTAAATGTAGCCTTGACAAAGCAGCAATTGTAACACCACCCACGCACAACATTGCATTGTAAGTATTTTAATATTTTACAATTGTTTATATTATAACTATTATTAAAAAATATTTTAGAAAACAAAGGATGTTTACAGTTTGCAATGGCTTCAGCTTTAAAAACTGAAAAAGTATTTTGGAAAATAATGGATGTAAACAGTTCTTAATTGCTCCAGCTTTAAGAGAACTATTATTGAAAAGTATTTTAGAAAACAAAAGATGTTTACAGTTTGCAATTGCTTCAGCTTTAAAAGCTGAAAAAATATTTTGGAAAATAATAGTGTAAACAGTTTTTAATTGCTTCAGCTTTAAGAGCACTATTACTGAAAAATATTTTAGAAAACAAAAGATGTTTACAGTTTGCAATTGCTTCAGCTTTAAAAGCTGAAAAAATATTTTAGAAAACAAAGAATGTTTTCAGAAAAAATAAGCATAACAAAACTTGATTAAATTTACTTTTTCATTTACTTGAGACAGGGGGTTTAACTTAATTATTGTTAACTGAATCATTGATTCTTTTTTAAATTTTATTTAGAAATTATTTAATTTATATCGAAAAAATAATAATAATAAAAACATGGTAGTTTGAGATTGTTTTACGATACTTTTAAAATTTAAAAAGTCTAATAAATTAGTTCAACTTTTTTTTGGTTCCTCCCTCATACTATTTTTATTTGCAATCGTTTGATATATAAGTTCGGATTTTTTTCGCCGATTATATGTTGAATGAAAAATCAAGACTTCAAAATTTAAGTTTTTAATTTTTAATATATTGTATTTTGATCTATTTTATATTTTCGAAGAATCAAAGAAAAGTAAGAAAACGACGGTTTTTTTTATTTTCATTTATGTATTTCGGGTGTTTGATAAAATTCAGTAGGGTGAATTTCAGTTTTGAGGACCTTTTACTTTTCAATTTTTTTAAGGAACTTGTCAAGGATTCACCCCCAACCACTTATTTTATTCGTTGAATCGCCTCTAGTTACAGTTTACATATTGTATATTATTTTACTAACTGAAGCGAGTAAAAGTAGCAAGTTACAAAAAATCACAAAGTTTCTTGAAATAGACAAAGACAATTCTTACTTTTATATAAAGTGTAAAATTCTTTTTCAATTTGATCATTTAATAAATTAATTTTTTTATAAACTAAAAGGTTTCGAATCATTTAGAAGAAGAAAAAAATAAATTCAAGCAACAACAATATATATTAAATAAATTTATAAAATTAAATATAGATCAACCATTGTGAAAGTTTTTTTTGTTTATGTAGTGGTATTTTGCCACACACACACGCACACGCACGTGCAGAAACACATACACGTATACACATATTTACTCTGGCATTGTCGTCTTCACATGAAATGTAAAGATTATGTTTTTCAAAATAAAGTTAATTTAAAAAACCAGAAAAACCTCAGAAAAATTTTTTTTTTTTTCAATTGATAGATAACCCACTACTTACCATCGATGTCACATATTCTACATCGATGTCACATATTCTACATTTTTAACAGTTAATGTGGCAGTCTCCTCTGCATGTTTTACCTATTTCTCAGTCAATCTAGCAGTACTCCTTGCATGTCCTACCAATTTGCCAGTTAATGTAGGTACACTCAGAGGCATTTCTACGAATAAAATGAGGGGTAGAGGGTTAAATCCTCAAAAAGTACCTACTAGCTTCTGAAAAAAACAAAACAAAAAGGTCCTCAAAATAAAAATTTAACCGACTGCATTGTGTCAAATAGCCGACTGTCGACTAAATTTGTAAAAAAACACGACTATAACTTAAAATCACCTTCTTTGGGGCGGGAGGGGTGTTCTTACACAGGGGTAGGGAGATGTTTTTCACAGGGGTGATTTAACGGGGGGTTTTGGGCGTAACATCCCACACCCACACACCCCGTAAAATTGCCTCTGTGTACACTCGTTGTATGTTTTACCTATTTGTTAAAATTAAAATAAAAGCATTCTGAATGATTTTGTTTTTATTAGAAAAAAACAAAACATTCTTGCCTAAGTTTTTTTTTGTGGTTTTTTTAAAAAAGATAAAAATTAATTAATTTTTTAAAAGGTTTTTCATAAAATTTACTTGATTTTTTCATTTTTAAACACAAATAGTTACTAAGAGCCGTTTTTAACCACAAACGGTTTTTAACCAAACAGTAATAGTCAAATCTTCACTACAGAAATAAAAATAGTTATATACTATATATAAATATATTTTTAATAATATTGTAAATATTATATTACTATTTCCAGTAAGAGCGCTCAATACAGCGTGTTAAATAACAGATAGAGCTAATAATATTCAAACTAAATAATTATAAAGATATATTTAGTTACATAACTAAAACTTTAATTCAATAATTAACAAAAGTAACCGAAAAAAAAATAACTTAATGGAAAAAATTACATACAAAAAATACTATGGAGTAGTATTTCTTTGATGACAGAAATTTCTATCAAGAAAATTGTTTTTGTTTTGCTCAGTATAAATTGCATTAAACTCACCAACAAAAATTATATTGCCTAAAAGATAAAGAGAAAAGACATGGTCAATTTGATCAGAAATAACATCAAAAAGAGTGCATTCTTGAGATAAAGAAGAGAAGTATAGAACAAAGAGAAAGACGATAGAGTGAAGTGGCGCTAAACAAAAGCACGTAAAAGTATAGTCTGTGAATTCAAGACCATTTTACCGATAAATTAGTTTTGTCTCACAAATGTAAATGCCCTAGCCAAGCATGTGACTGTTAAAGTCTTTTTTAATTAAAGGAAGATAAGCATCAGCACTTATACCACAAGATCAGACAGCTTAAACCTAATTTATTTCACAAAAAGCAAGTAGGTCTGGAATTTTATAGATTTTGGTACTTATATAATTTTTTGGTTTGTTATCGAACTTGACCAAAAATAATATTCATTTCACTATTTACTTGTCCGAGCAATTGCATCATTAATATTAATAAATCTTAAGCCGTAACAAAAGGTTCCAAATGTGATCTCGACAATGCATACCATAAGCACAAAAAGGGACAAGATTTAGAAATGTTGATAAAGATAGGCTTTCTCAAAGCTACTACAGAGATTCCGGAAACATGACTTCCAAAACGCATCAAAACAATTAACTTTATTAGGAGTTAATAGAATGAGTTGTCGAGTAATGAAAGTAGAGAAGTAAAAACCGTTGAGTCAAGACAACCCAATATTTAACATCCTAAATTGGAAAAAATGAATAAAGAAAAAGGGGGGCATAACTCGTCAACAGATAGAATCTGTTTACCTTTTCTTCAAACTAATAACTATAACAAATATTATTCAACATATTATATCTAAATAATTTATAAATATAAAATTTCTTCTAATCTTAAAAGTATGATTTCATAGACTTCGTTAAAGTATTATCCTTTAAAGCTACTTCTGCCGCAATCTTTTTCTATATTTATAGGTCTCTTTTTTGTTATAAATAATCTTCTAAATATAAAAGTCGTTAAAAATAATCTTTTATGTTTAAACCATGGCCTCCGAGATGTAGGAAAGAAAGGACATAGATGCCCTCGGCGTCATGGTAATAAGGGTGCGAGAAGACAAAAGACAATTAAAAACCAGAGATTTTATTTATAAAAAAGTAAAAAAAAATGTTTTTATTTTTGTGGTATAAACACAATTTGATGATGTACATTGCAATTAACTTTGCTTTTATTTTTATAATCAAATAAATATAGTTTGAAATAATTTATCTCCTTTCTTTGATATGTAGATATGTGATATAGGATAATGAAACATTGTACACAATCTATTAAAGTCTCAACTTGGATTTGTACATTGCAAAGACTGCCTAACAAGCCTAATTGAAATCAGTAATATTTTAACGGAAGCAGTGTACCGTGAGCGCCTGGTTGACATTTTTACCAACTTTTCCAAAGCATTCAACACGTTGTCTCAAAACAAATATCTCATAATATTTATGCCTATGGCATTTGAGGCCAGCTGTTTAACTCTACAGCTGGTTGGCTTATAGACAACAACGAGTAATAATTGGCGAATAAACATCCAAATAGATAAAGGTGACGAATGGCGTCCTTCAAGGATCACTTCACTTCACTGCTATGGCGTCCTTCAAGGATCGCTCACGTCACTGCTATTTGTATTTTTCATCATTAACTTACCAGACTGCATTTAAAACTAATCTGTATTTATAACCAAATTATACTTACTTGATGGCAAGATTTATAAGTTAATGATGTCCATTAATTTTTCTTTGATTATGAAAAACTGCCAACGAACATTGACAGCGTTATAAATTAGTCGAACAACTGCCTTGTCAATTTCAACTTAAAAAAGTGCAAAGTAATACAAGTTAGTTGACGAAAAAACTAATTAACAAAACCATGATTAATATTTACGATAACAGATGAAATCTAGTTTCAAAATGCATTTCATCACGTTGTAGCGTGACTTTGGAGTATAAATGTACAACAATCTTAAACTTTATGTTTAAGGAACAGCTTTTGTTGGCAATCGAATGCTTGGTTGTTTCAATGTCGGATCATTTCAGCTATGGGAAGAAATATATATACACTGTACATTAAACCTCATCTAGATTTTTTTATTTTTAAATTACACTACTCAAACGTGTTTGACATCGGGCAATATCGTTAATTAAACATTTTAGTTGCGATCAAAAACTAAATAAAAACTCAGTCTCAAAGAACGCAGGGGCCTTATAATGCATTCTATTTTTCTTGCAATTAAAATTGGTACTTTAAAATCTGTTTCATTAAGATTCGGATTCATTTGGTTGAAAGATCAAGAACCGGTTAAAATTAATGCTTGCAAAATAGAAGGCAACTTTATGGAAGATATTTACCTTAATAGTTTAAAAGTCTTTATTTTTTACTTGCAGAAAACTTTGGGCTTTCTCAAGCAAGTATACTCAAAAAGGTCTATGATCTTTTTTC